GAGTGGGGGGGGACGGGGGGGCCCTGCGACCCAGGCGTTGCAGGCGCTGCGCTGCGTTCACGCCTGGCGTCGTCGCCCCGCCTCGGGCCGCCCCGGGAGCGTCCCAGGTCGATCCGGCGCTCAAGGTGCATCCGCAAGCTCAGGGTAGAGGCTCCAGTCGTGGGCGTTCGTGACGTTGCAATGCTTTCGCAGCGTCGGATCTCTGGGCAGAACAAGGCAGGTTTGTTCTCGCCATATCTGGCACCCTGCGCCTCCCACGCGTTCCCTCCGATTGCTCTGAATTTGATTTTGTCTCTGTCCGTCGGCGGTCGACACAGCGGACGTGACACTCCCAAATGGGACACCATCGAGTCATTGGTAACGAGTAAGGGTGAGCCTTGCACATTGGAGATGAGGAAGTGGCGGATGAGCTTGAAGATGATGAGCATGAGGGCGAGAAATAATGAGGACGATGAGCAGCAGGAGTAGGAGAGCGGGACGAGCGGGAGAAGAAGGAGGACAAGGAGAAGGCGGCGGAGGGGAACGGAGCGGAGAGACAATGACGAGGAATGATTCGGATTCAGGAAATAGACCCGCTCTGGGGAGAAGTCGCCATTCTGAACGACCGGTGCAGCGTGCCGACACGAAAATGAGGCCTACGCGGCAGCGGGAACACCATTCTGAAAAACCGAAAGCGGTCCGAGTGAAACACATATTTGACAAACGAAGGACACTTTGTGTGCGAGTAGACAACACGCGGAGGGGGCGGGTTGCCCACTGGACGTCTCCGGTGAGCAGGAGCGGAGCATTTAGACTAAGTATGCGTGGAGGAAGGGAGAGGGAGAACTGGAGCAAGGGACAGCGAGAGAGGCTCACAAGGCGTCGCAATGCCGCGTCGCTGCTGCGCGCCAGGCCGCGGCGGACCGCGGGTTTGTCCTTGCCAGGGGCGGGGCGGGAGGGATGAGGAGGAGGAGGAGGAGGAGGAGGAGGAGGAGGAGGAGGAGGAGGAGGCGGAGGCGGAGGCGGAGGCGGAGGAGGAGGGGGAGGGGGAGGGGGAGGAGGAGGAGGAGGAGGAGGAGGAGGAGGAGGAGGAGGAGGAGGAGGAGGAGGAGGAGGAGGAGGAGGAGGAGGAGGAGAAGAAACAGAAGAAGAACAAGAAGACGAATACAGAGACGGACAATACTAATAACAATAATAAGAAGACTAAAACGAATACTACTAAGAAGGATACGAAGACGAATCTTCATACACATAATATGAAGGCTAAGCAGAACAATACGACGAAGACGAAACATACTACGCATACTGATAAACTTAACAAAGCCAATAATACTACGGCGCGTAGTAAGACGAATACGAAGACAACTAGGAATACGAACGCTGATACGAAGGCTAATACGAACGCGAATGCGAATCATACGACGAATACGAATCATAGTACTACTAACAATAATAGGCATACGAAGAAGACGACGACACCACTACTAAACATGATAATACTAAGAAGAGGATGAGGACGAGGATGATAATGAGGAGGAGGAGGAGAAGGAGGAAGGGGAGGAGGAGGAGGAGGAGGAGGAGGAGGCGGAGGAAGCAGGAGGAGGAGGATGAGGAGGAGGAGGAGGAGGGAGGAGGAGGTTGAGGAGGAGGAGGAGGAGAAGAGGAGGAGGAGGAGGAGGAGGAGGAGGAGGAGGGAGGGAGGAGCAGGAGAAGGAGGAGGAGGAGGAGGAAGAGGAGGAGGGAGGCGAGAGGAGGAGGAGGAGGAGGAGGAGGAGGAGGGGAGTGGAGGAGGAGGGGAGGAGGAGGGGGAGGGGGAGGAGAGGAGGAGGAGGAGGAGGGAGGAGGAGGAGGAGGAGGGAGGAGGAGGAGGAGGAGGAGGAGGAGGAGGCGGAGGAGGAGGAGGAGGAGGAGGAGGAGGAGGAGGAGGAGGAGGAGGAGAAGGATGGGGAGGGGGAGGGGAGGGGGAGGCGGAGGAGGAGGAGGAGGAGGATGATGAGGAGGAGGCGGAGGCGGAGGAGGAGGAGGAGGAGGAGGAGGAGGAGGAGGAAGAGGAGGAGGAGGTAGAGGAGGAAGCGGTGGATGAAGAGGAGGGAGGAGGAGTAGGAGGAGGGGAGGAAGATGAGTAGGGGTAGCGGGAGGAAGAGGAAGAAGAGTAGGCGTAGGGGGAGGAGGAAGGAGGGAGGAGGAGAGGAGGAGGAGGAGGAGGAGGAGGAGGAGAGAGGAGGAGAGGCGGAGGCGGAGAGAGGAGGAGGAGGAGGAGGAGGGGGGGAGGAGGAGGAGGAGGAGGAGGAGGAGGAGGAGGAGGAGGGGGGGAGGAGGAGGAGGAGGAGGAGGAGCAGGAAAACGAATAATTCGACTATTACTATCCCGAATAATACGAATAGCCATAATACGTTTAACATGAAGGCGAATGCGAATGCTAATACTAAGAAGAAGAATACGACGATGAATCATACTAAGAACACGGATGATATCAACACGAAGACGAATAAGAATACGAAGACGAAGCCGAAAACGAAAA